AAAAACAGGAGGTCCAGGAATGGTGATATGTGGAGGAGGAACGGGTATGATTCAGAGGGGGATGAGGCGGATGTTGGCGATGGCGACGTCGATGACGACGACCACGACGATCGCGTCCCCGATTATGATTATGACGTCTGTGACCACGATGATGTTTACGGTGGCGGTGATGATGAGGATGATGATGGTGCTGATGATGATGAGGATGCTGATGGTGACGATGCTGGTACTGATGATGATGATGATGATGATGATGATGATGATGATGATGATGATGATGGTGATATTCGACTAAGGGGAATGATGGACAATATGAGGAGGAAGAGACTGAGGACGACTGTGGGGGGGATACGGGAGGAGAGGGACGAGAAAACGGATGAATGTGAGGATGAGAAAGAGGAGGTGGAATATTTGGAGGAGGAACAGGAGGTGGATGAGGAGGGGGTTGCGGTGCAGGAAGGAGAGGGGGAAGAGAAGCAACATGATATCCATACTGCTATGAAAGATAACGCGAATAACCATACTACGAATCATGATAGCATGAATCGTGCGACACCAACTTATAATCAGAACTATAATGTTAATCATATTCCGGGTAGTAATCATAATCATGATAAGGTACATCCTGTACGTCGGAGCATGCGGTCAAACATGGTAAGGGGGAGAGGACGAATAACACGACGAGGGACAACACGGATTATAGTATTGCGAAGAAGCAAGGCAGCAATGCTAACAGCGGTACAACAAGCAAGGACATCACGACACGTAGACGCATAAGCACGGCGAATACGAATGATCATCTTTAATATTCGTAATGCGATGAAGAAGAGTACGCATGCTCAGGAACGCATAACTTACACTATGAGTAAGTTTAACCAGGCAAAGACGACTACCCACCATAAGAAGAGAACCTCCAACACACAAGACGCGGTATAAGCACACGCAGGAGATATACAATCAGAGTACGAGTGCTACTCATATTAGCGAAGGGTTAGACGAACATGAAGACTAGTACTATGAAGAAGCATTCTAATACAAAGGAAGACTTGTAATACTATGTATGATCAGGGATTTAAGAAGAGGGCACCTATGCATAATACTGGGAATGCTATGGCGAACGATAAGACGACGGGTCATAATCACACCCATGAGGGAAATTACATGAATAACGATAATCATAGTCATAATAACAAGAAGAAGGAGACTCAGGCGAACAACTCGAATACTACTAATATTACTATTGGTAAGACCAGTTCTCATATGATGAAGGTAATACTGATGCAAATGCGTTCATAACACGAAGAATAATACACAAGGGGAATTTTGGTAATACTGATAATGATGATAAATACGAATGCGACGGCAATATGACGCATACGAATACTACTACTAATTATGTTTTTTTTTAAGACCAACATTTGTACTAATATTGAGAAACAGACAAACAAGAACAGCCTTACTATGAACAGTCAGAACAGTATCAACATACGAATAATATGAAGGATGCAGCGAAGAGTGACATAGATAACGCGAATACTTACAAGTAAGTTCAATACTGCTAATACGATTCATGGTGACACGAGCACGAATAATGATGACAATGCGATTGATGACGATTATCGTGCGACTAAACATTATATTGATATGAGTAATACTGATCATAGTACATCTAATTATCATAATATGAATATGGTTATAATGGAGCAGGAGGAAGTGAAGGAGGAAGAGGAGGAACTGGAAGAGCAGGGTTGGTCGGAGGAGTTTGTGGAGGAAGAGGACGAGGAGGTGGTATAACAAAAGGTAGCAACATATCCTCACTAGGAAGAGGGGGAGGAAGTTCTGTGCGCGTCAGCGTGCCCCCTCGCCTTCTCCCGCTGCTGGCGGCTGGGGGCAGTCCGTCGTCCTTGTCGGACTCTTGGGCCATGCCCTCACCAGGCTAGCCACGCGGAAAACTCGCTGGGGCGGGACCAGAGCATTCTTTCGTAGAAACAGGATGGGGTCGCATGGTGTGACTGGTGCATCTTTGGGCACGTCTGTGTCGACGACCACATGGGGTGCTTCTCTTGGGTTTTCCGGGAGACCCCCACCAAATTACCCCCCCAGTTGGGGATACACCCCTCGAAACCCGAAGGGAACGGCCTATATCCCCAGCTAGTGGGGTAAATCGGCCAAAGGGGCCCAGGCCACGCCGCTGGGATGGGGACCAGTAAAGCGATTTTCACTCTTGATCTTCGCCCCCCTTCTCGGGGCGATCGGAACGGGGACGCAAAGAATGGGGACGAAAACCAGCAGCAGTTCTTGTCCATTTTGGACAGTGCTCGCCGTCAGTGTCGCCGCGGACGTTGTCCGTTTGAGACGAACGTCGCCAGGAGACGAACGTCGCCAGTCCAGCAGCACAGCATTTGCGGTTAGGCACCCTGCCATTTTTTCCGTACGCATTCCGGGCGTTCTAACCTTCTGCTCTTTTTTCCGAATTGTTTTTTGTGGATCTGATTACGTAGAGCCTGTGCAGCTGCGCCCTTGCCGCCGCTCGCTCCTGCAGGCCTTAGTTGAGATCCCTGCCTGGACGCACTCTGGTATCACACAATACTGTACACTTAACGGTCGGCTGC